CTGCGTTATTGAGGCGGGTCTTAAATGAAAGGTCTCGAGGAGTATTTTCTGGCTGTATATGCCTTATATTCCCAACTGATTTCAGATAGTCGAATTTTTCCGATTTTTTAACCAAAAGTACTCCTCGAGACCTTTCATTTAAGACCCGCCTCAATAACGCAGCTAGCCTAGTTTTTGTGCAACTCAGCATTTTCCCTACCGAAACCGCCACTTTGGTCAGAAAATCGGAAAAATTCGATTATCCGAAATGAGTTGGGAATATAAGGCAAATATAGCCAGAAAGTACTCCTCGAGACCTCTTATTTAAGACCCGCCTCAATGACGCAGCTAGCATAGTTTTTGTGCAACTCAGCATTTTCCATTCAGTTTCCCTACCGCCAACACCACTCTGGTTATTCGTCCTCGTCGGGAAATTGTGTCATTTTCCTGTTAAATTAATTTAGTAGAATTGTTATTATCTTAATACTTATTAAAAAGACGGTGATTTATCCAAAAAATGGTAAAAATCATTAATATTAAAATAAAATCAATTTTTCAATTAACCCCTTGCACACCAACACAAAATACAAGTGGTTTGTGTCTTTGCTTTTATATTTTAAAATTTATCTTCATGGGCATACCTTCCCTTCCCTCCGCCTTTTCAATACTTATATCTCTTATAATTTGCAAAACAAGTTAGCGATTTTTTTCATACGTAGAAACCAGAGGTCTGATTTGAATAATGGCTCACTTCTTCTGCCCCAATCTCCCCCCCCCACAAAAGGTTGTAATTTTGATTAACAAATATTCAAATAAACTTAGAAATAAATGTTAGATTTTCTATATATTTGGCTCATCCCAGTATTTTTTTCAGTATTGGAAGAAGGCTAATGCTTCGGTCCACTATATCTGGTACATTACGCACATTTCTACATGCTCCAACAATTAATATATATATATCATGGAAAGGCGAATGAAGTAGTCAAAACAGTCCAAATCTTTCACATTTATATCAGCCTTAATTCAGATGCGACTGATCTGTTCCACAACTGCAAGAATGTTAAAATTTTTACAACAACAGCCGGTATAATCGAAAAAAAATTTGAAATCTAGTAGACTCTTGCAGGTTCGGGAGCAGAGCCGAAATGTACAATATTTTTTTTAACCTCCCCCATGAAGGGTCAAAACTTTGAATAATCATAACACTTGTCAAAATATATTTAAATAAACGAACAATGGCTGAGGGTATACATCTTTCGGCAAAACCGACATTTATTATTTTAGCCCTCTTGAAAAATTGTCCTCCCTTTATAGAAGATATTTTGGAGTGGTGTGTCCTGGCTTAAAATATCCCTGATTCCAATGACTAGTAAATCTGATACTCTGGAAAACTGCAGCTATCAAGCACGGTTAAACTTTGCATTTCACTGTCAAGTCCTTAAAAGGTTTTTGGAACACATGATCCCTCTCATACCAGTAAGCTATAATATATCAAGCGAGTGAACAAAAACGTTGACACTTTTTGTCTTCCCTGTCATAGGGACAAGTGATGAAACTATAAAGAGGACGTTATTATTTTTTTTAACGACATGGAAAATGCATGCCAACCACCATGTTTTGTCACTCGAAAACAATGGTAGAATATATGTATCTTTGGATGTACTTACAACCGGCTCAAACATATGCTCGTTTGTGTGATAACATTTTATTTAAAAAGTGTAATAGTTTGTTGTTTTTTTTTTGCTTCTTTCTTGCTCTCATTTTCCAAAACCGTTACCATAGCAATGATAGTTCTTGGGTAAAAAACCCACCACACATGCTGTTAAATACGTGTATGATGAGAGCGAAACTGCTGTCTTATTACTGCGATTTTTTGGTTTGATGTTTTGTTATGTTCGAATCAAACATTTATGCCTGAAAACGTTCACTACTTTTCGTATTATGAGAATGAGAGAAAATTAATCTAAGGCAAATATTTTCAATAAAAGTAAACAACGAGAGAATATTTTTAAATGTGAATGTAATTGTAAATAGTCAAACGAGTTAACCAAAGAGAGGATACTCCCCCATATATCCTTAATGTGCAAAACCTAACATTATGTCAACCAAACCCTTGTAATGACTATGTTGTTGGACCATTGGGAGCCTACGCAAACGATTTTTAGGTTATGTAAAGAAAAATCATCGTCATCATCATCCTGGCAGCAATAAAATGTTAATGGCGGCAAAATCAGGCAAAATGAAATGCGGGTTAGGTGGTAATTTTAAAAATAGAAAAATGTATTGTTATCTGGTTATAGAACTTCATGTTATTTTGGGCAAGAGATTAAAAAACACAATTTTTTTATGTTTTATCACCGCCTACTAGGATATAATGGACCATTACATAAAGTATCAAGCTGTGTTCGAATATTAAAAAAGGGTAGATTTAGTTAAGATTTGGAGAATTGAGGAGGAGTTATTTTGAAAACAAAAGCTGCATAATTTTTGACACAAATTAACAAAAATGATAGGGGTTTTCAATGGAATATTTAGTTTAAATTTTCAACAGTCTTTTTAAATTAAATAAATTTTAATATTCTTTATCTGTCTATGGAGGGCAAATTAAGTTAGTCCTTCCGTAACTCATTGCAATACATATTTTTTAAAAAAGTACATATTTTTAATCAACCTAAAAAGCTGGCTTAAGTATGTCAGTTTTTTGTTGGACTCGCACTAGACTCCAAACGGCTTGTGATAGGAGGCTAAGATTTTGCACATGGCTGTATTTTGTCTACGGGCAGATTAAGTTATAAGAAGTCTATTTCGAGCCACTACACTGAAAGTTCGAGCCAGAGCTATGGAAAGTCTTACAAAGAGGAACATACAGGGTGAGGTTAAAAAAACTGCAACAAATTCAAAAGCCATAATTTTTATTTTTTTTTTAATTTTATTGAATGGAAGCAAAACATTTCGGAAATAGCATTAAATTTTAGAATAAGTTTAGATTTATTCGAATTGGTCGCCTTTGGCACGAATTATGGCCTTCAAACGGCCAATGAAACTGTCACACGCTACCCGTATGTTGCTCTGGGGTATTTTGGCCCATTCCCGGCGAAGCGCTTGCTTCAGGTAATCGACACTTTGGTATTTTTTTTAGTGCCAGCCTTGCTTTCCAAAATACTCCAGACAGAATAGTCCAATGGATTGGTATCCGGAGATTTTGGTGGCCATTGTGCGCTGGAAATGAAGCGAGGATCCTTATTTTGTAACCATTCTTGGGTGGCGCGTGCTGAGTGCGATGGTGTCGGGTCCTGTTGGAATGTCCAAGGTCTGCGGCCAACATGTTTGCGTGCTGAAGGCTTTAATACACCCTCCAGAACATTTTCGCGATAATATTCGGCATTTATTCTGATGGCACGGTCGATTAATACGAGCGGAGAGCCACCATCGGCTGTAAAGGCGGTCCACAGCATCAGCATGGCCGGCGCTTGAGTTCTGGTGGCCAACCGAAGGTGCACATTCTGTTTGGGTGCACAAAATTCGGCAGTTCGCCACTTTCGGCCCAGCGAAGTAACTCTTTAGCGCTTTTGAGTCTCTTTTCCTTCTGTTGCGGTGTAAGTTCTTGCACTGTTTGGAATTTCAATGACTTTACCCCGAGCTCATTTTTCAAAATTTGCCGTTTGGAATATTGCGATATGTTCAGCTCATGAGCCATTTTTCTGCCATTGCGATGCGGATTTCGATCAAGCTGTTTTCTCAGTTTCATCTATGATCTACTTCACATGAATTCCCAATATTAACCTTTTTGTTACGGGAGTTCTACTAAATACGCATAGTGATGTAGAGTATCATATAATTGGCCCGCCCGACTTTTGACCTTTTCTTACTGGTTTATATTTAAACTAAAAAAATAAAAATTTCTTAACTATCAGCTACTTTAGTGTAAAATTTCGCTAAGAAGAGATGAGTTATTCTCTTAAAATGTACATTTTTATCTGTGAAAGTCCTTCAGCGCAAACGAGACAATGCATATTCCTCAGAAAAAAAAAGTTTCAAGTTCGGCCGAGTTGATCTTTGAATACCCTCCACCATTTGGAACGAATTTGGCAATTTTCAAAAAAATAAAATCCATTAAAAATTATGTTAAAATCTTAAAAATAGTCGTTATGTTAGGATCTATATGATGACGTGGACCTGCATAGACAACTTTTGTCATAAGCCAATACAATATTTAAATGCGAAACTTGAAAAAAAAAATCGGTGAATAATGTAGCTAAAATCATCAAAATACCTTTATATGGGGGCTATACCAAAACGTGGACCTACATGGCCCATTTTCAATACCAAAAGTCCTGCAGACATAATATACATTTGAGTACAATTTTATCAACCTACTTCATTTCGTTCGGAAGCTAGAGTGATTTCCACAGGCGGACATCGCTAAATCGAAATAGAATATTATGCAGATCAAGAAGGTGTTACAAACGGAATGTCAAACTAAATATACCCTTCATGCTATAGTGTAGGGTATAAAAGAGTTAGTGGGGACGTCAAACTCAAAAGAACTCTTTAGAAAAGATTATTTTTATAAAATAATTATAAATATGCAATTTTTCCAGAGCACAAAAAATTAAATATTTGCCTAAATGTCGCCATTTGAGTAAAAAACCTTGAATTAAAAAAAAATGATTTTGCCCTTCAACTTTAAAAATGAGTATGGAAGTCCCGCCAACTCTAGGATATCAGCCGTCCTAAGTTCGGCAATGGTCTAACATCTTTAGAAAATGCGATGAATTTATTTATTTAATTATTTAAATTGTTTATGTTATAAAAATTAATAAAATAAATAATAAAACTTTCGTAAACTAAACAAAGTTATAATCTAAAATTTTCTAAGGATAGCTAAATATTGAGGAAGCGAAGATTTCCAAATTGCCGACTACTGCCACACTTACCCTAATTACATAAATAAATTTTTCTCCCAAAATGTGATATTTCAAATATAACCTAATAAGTTTCTTAATTTCTTCTCTTTTCAGCGATAAAAAAGTGTTAATATTTCATCAAGTGTTACATTATTGAACGTTCATACATATCGTGTAAACTAAATATGCATAACAGCTCAAGGTGACCCAACACATTTCAAAAATTACCAAAAAATAAATATTTCGGTCAAACACCCAGAGCCAAGAAGAACATTACAATTTTCCAATAATACAACAAGAATCAGCACGAACAACAACATCACGCATGCAACACAATCGAAACACTTGATCAGTGGCAAATCTAAAGAAAAAATGATGATTTTTTAAGGTAAGTACTCAACAGATTCCGCTGATGTACACTGGTGGCCAAAACTAAAGCAACTAAAATCGCAAAGACAATAAATGTCCTGTAACTTTTACAAAAATAAAAAAATCGTAACTATTTTTCCAGTTTTAAATGAGGTCTTTAATTCAATTTTAAGAAACTAAAAATAAATATACAAAAATAATTTTGAACGAAAAATAATGTATGGAAAACTAAAATGACCAAATTTTTTGCTTGGTCAAAACTAAAGCAACTTTTTGATTTTTTATTTTAAAATAAGTAAATTTTGGCTAATAGTCGATAGCATCCATTATTTTTGATAGCAGCTGCACACCTACGAGGCATTGAACATATAACACGCTCAATTTGATCCTTGGGTATGCTTTTCCAAGCACCCCGAATTATTTAGAAAATTTTGTGCTTATTTGTTTCCGAATCTCGCTTGATCTTCCTATCTACGATAATCCATAGGTTGTATATTGGAGGTGATTGTGCCGGCCATGACAAAACATCGATTTTTCACTCCTGCAACAAATATTTGACATGTTTTGATGCAAGTTTGGCATCATTATCATGCTGAAACACCCAAATCAGCCGAATATTTTACTCAGCGTAAGGGAACAACGTGATGTCCAACACATCTTTGTAAACAAACCGATCCACAACTTCCTTTATTTTATGGATAGGCCCAAGTCCATAGAAAGAAAAACAGCGCCACGCCATTTTTGACCCTCCCTCATGCTTCACTGTAGCTTTACAACACTGCGGCTTGAGTCCTTCATTTTTTGGTCTTCTCACCGTAAAATTTTTCTCGTCTGAGCCTTTAATATTTAACGTAGGATCATCCCAGAAATAATGTTTTTTCCATTGAGCTTGATTCCACTTAATATTATCGTTTCCGAAAGCCCTTTTGATTTTTTCAGATATAAATGGTTTTTTGATGTCTTACGGGCATGCAGACCAGCTGCCACTACTCGTCTACGCACTGATCTCGAGCTTATATCCAATGATTGTTCTCTCACCAATCCAGTTGAACTCTTAAATGGTTGTTTTTTTATTTCTCTCACAATTTGTGGATCAGTACGGGCTGAAGTTCTTCACGGCCTTCATCCGTTATGGACTGTTACTACTGATCCAGTTGCAAAAAACCTACTTAGTATACAGAAATAATTATGAAATCACATAAATATTTATGAAATATTTCTCGGAAATTATTTTCTGTGATATGTTGTTTTGATAGTCACTGATAATTTGCTGTTTTATTCAGTTACTGTATTTGCTTCTAGCCATTTTTAAAATTTTTTTGGACAGTACTTTAAAAAAACGGAAAGAAAAACACATACTGTTGTAAAAAACTGTTCAAAAAGGATTTATGACAAGCGAAATTGTCGAAGGAAGCAAAAAGCGATAAATATCACAGTAAAAACAACTGAAATTGCAGCAGTTATATGAATGTACAACAGAGTTGCTTTTGTTTTGTCCAAGCCAAAATCGGGTTAATTGACTTTAGCATACATTATTTTTTATATAAAAAGGAATTTTGGTTTTTTGTTTTAGGTTTTTAAAAAGTGAATAAGGTACCTAATTTAAAACAAGAAAAACTTTGTCATTTTCATAATTTTTAAAAAAGTTACAGGGCATTCATTCTCCTTGTAATTTCAGTTGCTTTAGTTTTGGCCACCAGTGTATATGTATGCACATTCCCAGTCCTATTATTATGAGAAAAAATATATCTCATTACTCACCGGCTAGTGTTTGCATTTTGTGTGGCAATTTACTTTTTAATGCATTTACGTGAAAAATTCTCCTGCTCCTATTACTCACTCTGTATTTCTCTCTTTTTTTCTTTCCACCTCCCGATGCCATAATGCAAACACAATAAAGCGGAAAAAGGAAATTGTTATGTTTGTAAAGTAAAATTACTCGGCTTCAATGTTGCAAACAGAAAGAAAGAAAATTAATCAAACATTCAAACAGCTGTTGTTGGCCAAGTTGTGTGTCGAACGGTGTATGAGTGTGAAAGGTGTTCGGTAGTTGTTGTTTTATTTTTTTGATAAATGCACTTTCCAGCAATTGCGCAAGTACTTTTGTGAGGTCTTGCCAATGCTGCGTGTTTTTCTTGGGAAATACAACCATATATAGAGGCAAAATGCCCACTTGTTTCCTTCTGGTTCACACATTTACAATCTAACTCAATGCACCACAAGCAAACATGACTCCACACATTGCTTTCATACATTTTAAGTTGTGGGCGCCCACAATTTTACCAAATCTAGGAGAGTTCGCCGTCAAGTGTAAAAACTCGCACACAAACAGCATGTATGAAATACTTGTATCGCACAGTGTTCTGCCACAGGGTAATGGTTGTTATAGCTATGTAGCTATGTTTGTATGGTGGCGGCTTTCCCAATTGCACTCTCGGACTCTCTTTGATGTTGCTGTTGTCATAGAAATTTCAGTGATGCTATTGTAGCAATTTTTTATCCTACATCATTGTATAGAGAGTATATAAGGTTTGTCATTCCGTTTGTAATACCTCGAAATATACATTTTAGACCCCACAAAGTATATACATGGTGATATAAAAAAAACTGCAACAAAGCCAAACGCCATAGTTTTTACATTTTTTTGTTTTAAATTTTATTGAATGAAAGCAAAAAATGTCATCGGAAATAGCATCAAATTTTAGAATAAGTTTAGATTTGTTCGAATAGGTCACCTTTGGCACGAATTATGGCCTTCAAACGGCCAATGAAACCGTCACACGCTGCCCGAATGTTGCTCTGCGGTATTTCGCAGAGGCAGCGCTTGCTAGAGGTGATCAGTTCCTTTCTTTTCGAACCATTTCTGCTGATGTTGCTGTTTTCTTCCGTCCACTTCCTTGAAGTCGGGCTACGCTATCAGTATCACGGTAACGAGCGATGGTACGAGACCCCAACGATTTATTCACATTTAAATGCTGGAGTGCTCTAACGATAGCCACTTTTGGTTTTCCAGCCAAATATGAAGAAATCAGTCAATCACGCTTGAATTCCATCACGAATAACTATTTTTCTGGAAAATTCTCACCAAAATGCTTTTGTACGCTTGTAAACAATATAATGAGCTGTCACTGAAATAATTTTAACAGCTGTCGGACGAGTGACTTAGAAATGACAGCAGTTTTTTCATCTCACTCTGTATATTCTTGATCAACATAAAATTCTGTACCGATCTAGTGATTTTTGTCCGTCTGTTGTCTGTCTGCCCGTCTGTGGAAATCACTCTAGCGTCCGAACGAAATGAATGTTCAGCAGGACTTTTGGTATTGAAAATGGGCTATATAAGTACACGTTTTGGTGTACGTACGACAGATTCTCAACTTTTTGGGTGTTTCAGTCAACATTTCACACCGAATTTGGGGCAAAGTATGTAGGAAACATCCTTGCATGAGTATGTACATCTAGTCCAATTTTTGGCATAGACCCCATATAACTGTAGCACCATATATTCGCTATTTGGATGATTTGTGACAGATTTGCTATTTAGTGTGCGTTCGGAGATTGGCGCCTTCGTATTTTGACGATATGAGCTATATTTTCCGTCAGAATTATTTCAAACTTTGTGTTGGGATTTCGTACTGTACATCGCCTTTACTGGCAGATTATTGGCTATAGAGGTCTACATCTTCGTTTAGCTCTCATCTAATGAAACCTCTCTATATTCGGTATTTTGACGATTTGAACTACACCAATGGAAACTACCTCCTATGACAGAAAATTTCCTGTACATATCCACTCCTTCGTATAACACCAATCTAATGCTACCTTCCAAATTTACCCTCTATTTTGACGATTTTAGCTACATTTTTCAAAACTGGTATTTGTAGTTCAAAATAATAGGCCCCATATAACTGTACCTCCAGATATTCGATATTTTGATGATATGTCTCTAAAATTTCACCGGAATTGTTGTTGCATAATGGTCAGGCTTTATCCCTTTATTGTCGTTTTTATAAAAACAACGTTTGTTTATTAGTGGAGAACGATGGTAATGTTTACTAGGGGATAAGGCAGGGAATTGCTAGGTTTTGTAAAGAGCCCTTGTTTTTTGTCTGGGATATTCTCCCCAGAAGTTATTTTAAAAATAACTTCTATGACAAAAAAATATTTTTTACCCAAGTGACGAGATCGTAAGCTCAATAGAAGAGTAACCAAAGAATTAAATAAAACTAAAATTCTTTCGGAAAGTCTTCTAATCAAAAACTCTCAATCCAAATTTCAGATTTTCAACTCTTGTATACCCTCCATCATACATAGTATGGAGGTTACATTAAGTTCGTCATTCCGTTTGTAACTCATCGAAATTATAATTTTAGACCTAACAAATTGTATATATTCTTGATCAGCGCAAAATTCTAGGACAATTTAGCCCTATCCCTCTGTTTTAGTCACGCTAGAGTCAAAACAAATTAAGCTAGGAAACTAAAATTTTATACAGATCAGTATTTTGTCTGCAGGCAGATCAAGATCGATCCACTATATCATAAAGCCCTGATATAACGATACCCCCGATATATATTTTGATGATTGTAGCCAAAAATGTAAATGAAATTGTCTGAAAATCCACAAAAGAAGTTATTTCTAAGTACTTTAATCCCTGGAAGAGAATTGTCTATATCGGTCCACGATATCGTATAGGCCCCATATAACGGTAGCCACATTTTCAATGGAGTCGTCTGAAATTCTACATAAGGAGTTCCTTCTGAGTACTTTACCCCCTGGAAGAGAATTATCCATATATATCCCTGATATAGCGTTATAGCCCCCATACAACTTATGCGATTTTGATTTTAACGAGCAACGAACATTTTTTAAATTTTTTTCGCACCTCGATATTTGAATTTTTTACAACAACTATAACAATTTTTCTGAAAAAAACTTTTTTTCGAAATTGTCATATCTCGAAAACGGTTAAAGATATGGGAAAAAAAAAATAAACGGAACAAGTTTGTGCTAACTTGT